ACATACTTTGTTTAACAAGTCAAGTTTCATCTCATCATTCATGTACACAACAACTCTCTTCAGAACACCGATATCTTCATCATAATGACCTCTTGTAACCAATGACAACCAATTTGTGCCCTTGTCAGGTTTGACACCTTCAGACAGAAGATAAAAGGCACTCTCTTTAAAGCCACGTGAACATACTTTGTTTAACAAGTCATGTTTCATCTCATCATTCATGTATATAATAACTTTCTTCAGAATATCCATATCTACACCACACTCCCAATCTTCTATAATAAATGACCCCCAATCTGTGTCCTTGTCAGGTTTTACACCTTCAGACAGAAGATACAATGCACACTCATCAAAGCCAAGTGAACATACTTTGTTCAACAATTCAAGTTTCATCTCATCATTCATGTATTTAAAAACTTTCTTCAGAATATCCATATCTACACCACACTCCCAATCTCCTGTAATAAATGACCCCCAATCTGTGTCCTTGTCAGGTTTTACACCTTCAGACAGAAGATACAATGCACACTCATCAAAGCAAAGTTTACATACTTTGTTCAACAATTCAAGTTTCATCTCATCATTCATGTATATAAAAACTTTTCTCAGAATATCCAAATCTATACCACACTCCCAATCTCCTGTAACCAATGACCCCCAATTTGTGTCCTTGTCAGGTTTTACACCTTCAGACAGAAGATACAATGCATACTTATCAAAGCTAAGTGAACATACTTTGTTCAACAATTCAAGTTTCATCTCATCATTCATGTATATAAAAACTTTCTGCAGAATATCCATATCTTCACCACACTCCCAATCTCCTGTAACCAATGACAACCAATATGTGTCCATGTCAGGTTTTACACCTTCAGACAGAAGATACAAAGCACACTCAACAATACCATGGTTACATGCTTCGTTCAACAATTCAAGTTTCATGTCATCTTTCATGTATATAAAAACTTTCTTCAGAATATCTATATCTACAACATTACAAAACCATCCTTTTTTAACCAATGACAACCAATCTGTGTCCTTGTCAGGTTTTACACTTTCAGATAGAAGATACAAAGCACACTCACCAAAGCTATGTGAACATGCTTTGTTTAACAAGTCCAGTTTGTTCTCATCACTCATGTATACAACAACTTCCTTAAGTAAATCCACATCATCAGACCCACCTTTTGTAACCAATGACAACCAATCTGTGTCCTTGTCAGGTTTGACACCTTCAGACAGAAGATACAAAGCACACTTAACATCACCATGTGTACATACTTTGTTTAATAAGTCAGGTTTGTTCTCATCACTCATGTATTCAAGAACTTTCTTCAGTAAATCCACATCATCAGACCCACCTTTTGTAATCAATGAACCCCAATCTGTGTCCTTGTCAGGTTTGACACCCTGAGACAGAAGATATAAAGCAAATGGTTTTACACCAAAAAGGCATGCTTTGTTTAACACATCAACTTCATCAATCTTTTTACCATTTAACCACCTGACAAACCTTTCTATAAATTGTCTATCAGTCCATACATCTAGAGAACCAAAACTTCCATAATAATACCTAGGTGTCTTCCATTCCTCGCTGTGTATACGTTCAAACATGTAAACATAATTATCAGGTGATATCATTATTCTGTCCGGAGATGATATCGATGTTGTAACAAGCCCCAACGAGCCTACAGGACAGTACTTAACATAACCAATCGGTGTCTTTTCTCCATACAGAAGTGCCACTGTGGTGTGTATAGAGTCGTGAGCAAATCTGTACACAAAACCATCACCAGACCACTTTTTCTTCTTTACCACTAAAAACCCAGATAAAGTGTCTAAACTTTTCCGCACAAATTCAATTTTTTGCTTATACTTCCATGTCGACCTGTTTTCTCCAACACCCTTCAAATCAATATCAAATGCTTCTCCCAGCAATGTTTTGTCGACTTTTTCACCATTAGGATCAAGATCCTTTACAGCAATTTCCCCATCATTGAGGAAAAGAAACAATATGGCATTACATTCTTCCAGTTTTGACAAGACTCTATTCAAAAAATAAAACGGCTTCTCAAAGAAAAGAACCCTTTCTTTCTGCAAGTCAGGAATATCTCTGAACAACCTACAGCATTGTGGGAAACCAATACCTGTGGCATATCTGATAATTTCCTGTTTTTCATTTTCTTTCCATGAAAATTCACCCTTTTAAGGTTTGTATAACTCTAAAAGTTTCAGCTTTTCTCCTTCAATTTTGTAAACATCAGAGCTCAGATCAATTATGTTAGAGTCAACAAACACATTTTCTAAAGAATGGCTTCTCAAAGAATTAAAAGCCTCATTTCGAATTGTAATGAGAAGGAAATTTGCCTCGGTAGGTTTATCCCCACAGAGTGTTGGAAGAACAGATTCAATCCTTTTGTTCCACTCTCCTACATCTTTTTCATGCGCAACTTTTTCTCCAAAGATATCATCAATAAAGGTAATTAATTTTGATTTTGGAGGCAATGAATCCAGGTCTTTGATGTTATGAAGTTGGAGTGGTTGTCGGCCTTGTTGCTCCTCAATCAGTCCAAGAATGAGATGAATGGCCGTGGTTGTTTTACCATCTCCAGTGTTCCCTTTGATGACAAGAACCTGATTCTTGTGTAGCTTTTCTTTAGCATCCTGGAAACCCTTGGTGGCTATAAATGTTCTCTTTTTATCTTCTTCAATCCTGGCTTTGGTTCTCACTGTAAACAGACAGAATCACAAGAGAAATTGAATTAGCTAAACCCAATCACCAGAGTTGTTAATCTGTTATTTGTCAATTTTTATCTAAATTTCACATAAAAGATTACTATTGTCAAAAAGGGTTTAGGTATTTTCATCAAGGTGGTATAGGAGTGTTTCAACAGATTTGTATGATCTGAGTGACCTTGACTTTAGGTCAAGGTGGTTTCTTTTCCAAAACCTTTCAGCCAACGACTACTGACCACGTATTATGACTCTAAGCTTCTTTGTGTTACAGAAGAAGTCATCTGAGTGTTTTTAAACAAATTTAATCACTGTGAACTTGAATAAAAGTCAGTCATTTTTTCTAAAACATTGTAGAATTTCATGCAAGTAAGTTTTTGGCTAAATATCACCGAACTCCTTCAACTATGTAGTGCATTTACTAACAGTGCTGAATAATAAATATTGTAACGTGACCGGCTTCCACAACACATAATCCAACATCAAAGTTATATTTACATGTTTATTTACAGTTTGTACATTATATCACAACATTCCCTTCATAGTCAGATTAACACCTGAGTAGATCACGATCCACATATAGAAATTCTGTACACGTCTGTACTCCTTCTTCTCCCCAAACCCCCAAAATGGTCTCCTCTAATCACCCATTACTCATGAGTGTACCTCAGGCCAGCCCTGCAGGAGTGACAGCTTTCATGACCTTAAAGATCAATCTCCCCGGCTAAGCCGTATGTCAGTCTACCTGCTATCACCATGGTCCCCAAAACCCCTCCCAGTGTCTCCGGTCCCCAAAACCCCTCCCAGTGTCCCCAGTCCCCAAAACCCCTCCCAGTGTCCCCGGTCCCCAAAACCCCTCCCAGTGTCTCCGGTCCCCAAAAACCCTCCCAGTGTCTCCAGTCCCCAAACCCCCTCCCAGTGTCTCCGGTCCCCAAAACCCCACACAGTGTCTCCGGTCCCCAAAACCCCTCCCAGTGTCCCCAGTCCCCAAAACCCCTCCCAGTGTCTATGTCTGCACTATATCAATGTTCTCTATTAAACCACTTCTATAAGGTAGATGATTATAGCTACACAAATATCAAATTATCACAAAATCAAAATCATCCGACTGCTAGTTTATTATTAAAAGACATTTTTAGATGGCTCAAATTTTACCCCTTTTTTCCTCTGAAGATGCAGGCCCCTTTTATTCCCAATCAGAATCAACATCATTTCGGGACACGTACACCAATTTTGGTTGTAATTTGTCTTGAGGTTCTTGAGAAGAAGAGGTTCAAATAAAATTTACAAAAGGAAGATTGACGATTGATGGTAATGAGTTTCAGTGTCTTCATACTTTCAATAAAATACACCTGAAGCAAGATGATTATATTATTCAAATGATGCTCAAACATGAGGTCTTAGGTGTGTTTGTAGTAACAATGAATTGACAGACAATTATTTAAAACAAGAGGCCCAAAGGGCCTATATTGCTCACCTGGAAAAGTTAGCAAATTTGAAGATGAAATAGCCAAATGTTGCTGTACATGGATTACATGGTTAGGGGTTATATTTATATGCAATTGGACAAAACCCTGTCATTCCTACAGGATAAGGAGGATTTTGAAGAATTTGCTATGTTTCCATTATTGGGCCCTGCCCCTCTGCCCCCCAGGGGATTAAAACCCACAGTTTATACAAAATTGGTTCCCCTTCACCCAAGGGTGCTTTGTCCCACATATGGACAAAACCTGTCATTCCTACAAAAGAAGAAGTATTTTGAAGAATTTGCTGTTTCCCCTATTGGGCCCCGCCCCTTAGGCCCCAGGGGGGTCAGAACCACCATTTATAAAAAATTGATTTCCCTTCCCCATAAGATGCTACTGTTCAAATTTGGTCAAAATACATTCATCCCAAAGGAAGGAAAAGTATGTTAAAGATATTCCTCTATATACTATATCTCTTATTTGGACGGCCTCTCTGCCCCCAGGGGAGTCAGGCCAACTGTTTATACAATGTTTCCACTTCACCAATGGGTGCTTCATATTAAATTTGGACAAAATCCTGTCGTTCCTACAGAAGAAGGATTTTGAAGAATTTGCTCTTTTTCCCCTATTCGGCCCTGCCCCTCTTTCCCCGGGG